TTAGGGACAGGGGAGCATGGCCTGGCCTCAATAACACGCTGAGAATGTTCTGGCTCCTTCACAAACCATACTCACCGATACCCTGGAGATCCTGGATGCCAGACCTCCTGGGGCAGTTAATGAGTCCATCAGCCAACTTTGAAAGGTGTTAGCAGCCTCCAAAAGTCTTTTGTGCTAGGTCCCGAAGTGAAGTTTAACGAAAAAGCACGATTCTCTTCTCAAAGCGCTTGAGCCCAGTAAGGGAGGGAGACGTGGTTGTTTTTGTTTAATGCAATAGAGTGTCACAGAGCTCGCACAGAGGATGGCAGGATGACCCCAGAAACCATCCATTCACTCGGTGTTGAATTCCCTACCTATTATGTGCAGGGCACTCTGCTAGGAGGAGAGAGTAAAAGTGAAACCAGCAGAGTCCCTAGAGTAGTTGGGAGAAGGGTAGTAAACAAGGTGACCAACAAGCAAATACACATCTAACCAAACACCAAATAGGTTTAGTACCAATCACAAAGGTTCCATCAGAGAGAATACTGGGGACCCACCTGAGCGGGGGGCAGCCCTTGAGGCACTCTGGGAGCCCAGTGTGCCCAGAGAAGCAGCAGAAACTGGGACCAGAACCTGCAGGTGGAGCTTAAGACACAACCCCAGGGCGCCTGGTTGGCTCAGTTTGTTGAGCATCCGACTCTTGATTTCGGCTCAGGTCATGATCTCGCGGTTCGTGAGTTCGAGCCCCACTTAGGACTCTGTGCTGACAGTGCGGAGCCTGCTTGGGATCCTGTCTCCCTCCCTCTCTCTGCTCCTCTTCCACTCACTCTCTCTCAAAATAAATAAAGCAGCATTTAAAAAAAAAACCCACAAAACCCAGAAGCTATAAAAAATGTGTACATTCGACTGCATAAAAAATTTTAATTTCAGTAATAGAAAAGATAAAAACTAAAGGCAGCTGAGAGAATATATTTGCAATATCTGCAACAGGCAATAGGTTAATATTCAGAATATAAATGTCAAATCTATAATAAACTTATGAAAAGATATTCAGCCCACTAGTTATCAGGGAAATTAAGATTAAATAAAAGATATCATTTCCTTTCTTTTTAAGTACTGATAATAATCTGTGTGAGCAAGACTCCCTATGCGGGGGAACTCATCTTTTTTTTTTTTTTTTGGATAGCATTTTGGCAGCAAATATCAAAATCTTGCCTGTGAATATGCTTTCACTTCATAATTTCACTTCTGAGAACCTTTCAGAAATGTACATACATGCAGAAAGCAGCTTGTCCAAGAATATTCTTTTGCAGGATGATGTGTACTTGCAAAGAACTGGGGATGTGACAAATGCCCATCAGTAAAAGATTGTGTAAGGTGGTACTTCCTGACCAGAGGGGGTGCCCCCCCCCCACCCCCCAGGATCTTTGCCAACATCTGGAGACATTTTTGGTTATTGTGCCTGGGGAGGTGCTTAGTAGCACCTGGCATTTTGTGGGTGGGGGACAGGATGCTGCTAACCGTGCTACAGGACAGTCCCCACCAAAAAATTACCCAGCCCCAAATGTCAGTAGTGCTGAGGTTGACAAACGCTGGGTCAAATAAATCCGCAGCCAGTTGGAAGAAAAGGGTAAGTCTATACGTGTGCCATTAAAGACCTCTAAGGCATGTCATTAGCTTTTTTACAGCTTAATGTGTGATTTTTATAATACAAGAAAAGAAAACAGCAAATTTAAAAAACCACCAAATGATCAGTTCTCCCCAGAGGCAACCACTGTTACCGGTTTCTTAGGTGTCCTTCCAGAAATAGTCCCAGCACAGACAAGCATATTTGGTTTTTAATAAGCTGTAGGTATTTTGCCGCATGGTTAGATTCAGAAACTCGTGCATTAATTAGCCGGATGCTAGCGGCCTGCACCTGACGACCCCTGACATAACGTTTTTTAGGTTATTCCCCCCCGCCTCTTGTGTTTTCAAGGGCATTTTTATTTTTGGATACAGAACAACACTGTGTGCTGGGGTTTGGGAGGGTGGGAAGGAGCCTATAACCAAAAGGCTGATATATTGGTGAGTGAAAGGAGGACGCAGAGGAAATAAGCCGGGCGAGGGTTCTCTTGCACGTGGGTGTCAGTGAGGTTCCACAAGGGCTGTTTGGTGGTGCTGACCCGGGGTGGGGGCTTTAACAGGGAGGTGGGGTGAATTTCCTCCCACCCCAGGGCAGAATTCAGCCAAAGTTAGAAACATATCAAATCCCTCTTCTGCCGGCCCACAGCCAAGCAGAGTCATTAATGGGCCTCCTTGCAGATCCAAGCGCACTTTGCAATCACTGACTCGCCCCATCTCTGACTTTTTGAACAAGCCTGGCTTTCATCTCCTGGGCTTTTCCAGAAAAGCCTCTTAGAATTGGGTCTGAGACTTTTTGATGTTGGCTTTCATCAGCGACTTCTCTTTCCCCTGCTTGTCTTCCTGGCTGATACATTATTCCAAGGTCAGGATAAAAACCCTTGCGAGAAGGTGGGGTTGGGTGACCTGCCCACATCCAGCCCGAGGTTCTCGAAACATAAGGTGTCTGGTGCCATCTTCAGCCAGATGCAGGCGTGTTCAGCAGACCAGACTCCGGCAGGAGCACAGGAAGACCAAGCCTCCTGAGGGAATGTTCCAGAGCACAGACTGCAGGCAGCAGGTGGCAGGGCCCCCGAGACCACCGGAGGCTTCTGCTGCCCAGCTCAGAAGAACGCTTCTCCTGAAGCCTGCCTCTTGAGTCTTCTCCAGAAATGTTCCATCTTAGACTTCAAAATGCTTTTTCTTCCTTGAGGGACACCCACCCAGACTGAGAACCTGAGGAGGCTGCCTGGCGCCTGCTGTAGAGTTAAGACCAGGATGTTTTAGTTCCAGAGTTGGGGGTGGGGGTGGAGAGGCGGGGGTGGGGGGGAGAGGGACATTCATTTCTCCCAAGTGATGTCAGCCTGTTTCAGGTGTGAAATTTAAACCCTCTGTTGCTTGCTTTCACAAAAATCATCTCTTCTTTCTAGTAAGCATTTTGATAGAGTCAGAAACGACACAGTTTGGGGGAGAAAGGGGTGGTTTCTAATCTGAGAAGATTCTGGGGATTCTGAACAGTGCCACAACCGGGCTGTGAGACCCTGGCTTTGAGTTGGGGGTGCTTGCAACAATACTTTTAAACCTCTGGATGTTTGTGTTAGGTATTTTATTTTCAACTGTCATGGCAGTTTGATATAAAAGGACAAGCCTTTGAGAGGAGCTGGAGAGCACAAATCACTCCTTTGGACGGTATCACATTGAAGTTACTCTACACAGAATCACGTCTGCCTTCCAGAAGCCTCCCAGCCTTCCTTAGCCCTGAAGTCAGAACTGCTACTTCAGTTTGTCTCAATTCTGCTGTGGTGTTTGATTTGCTTCTCTGGCTGGAAACAAGAAGAGGTCTGAGGGGGCCGTGGTTGGGGTGGGGGAGAATGAACACCCCAGGGCGTTTTCTCCACCATGCTCTTGCTTGCTCATTCTCCTGCTTCACCTTTCTGGCTGCCCCCAGGGTATCGATCTAGAGGATTCAGGGGTCTGCATCATTTGCAGAGGTTACCTGCTGGCCTTAGAAAAGTTCTGAAAAGTTTGGTGTCAGATCTTTCTTTCTTTCTTTCTTTTCGTTCTTTCTTTTTTTAGAGCGCATTAGCTGCGATGCTGGCCATTTAAAGTAGGGATGAATGAATTATTGGGCAAAAAGGAAGCTTTTAGTTGCATGCATTAGTACATACCATGTGCAGTCTAAATGCGATTTTCCAAAGTTGGGATTCCCAGAAGAAGAGCACACGGTAGGTAGGTGGCATTAGGCCAGTTGAACCGGGTTCGGGAAGTCTTACTTTACAAGCATGTTTTCCAGGGAGGTTTGCGATGGTTTGCGGTAGAACGGTAATGTCTTTCCTGCTGAAGGTCCTCGGCCCTGGGAGTTCGTAGGGGAAGACCTGCCCGGACCCCTGTTGTTCACTGGGAAACTCCCACATCTCTGTGTCATCATGGAAAGAGGTGGCTCTGTCACAGATGAAGAGTTGTACAAATTATTCTAATCTTTGCATTCAGTTAAGCACAAAATTGCCTCTTCACCCAGGAATCACGCCTCATAATCCTGAATTCGCTGCATTTTAAGGCAGGCCTTGAACGCCCCAGTGCGGGAGGGGTCAGCGCCAGGTGGGGACACCCATAGACCGGGAGGCCTGCAAATGGGGACTGATAATCAGCAGAGCCCTGGTGAGATCACGCATAGTCCCGAGTGAAGCAGAGCTCACCTCGGAGCTTTAAAACAGCCTCGAGGCATGAATCATTCTATTACCAAGGCTGGCCGGCTTGAGAGGAACCGAAAAAATGAAAATTACTCCTGTTGCTCATTAGCAAAGGGGAATACGCAAATGTCGAGGGTCCCCCTGCACACCGCTGTTTGGATTTGACAAGCAGAGCACTCTCTTCATGCCAAAGTCTTTCCCAGCCTTCGTATCTGTTCGGAGCAGTTGGACAGACGCTAGAAATGAGGGGCTTGAGAAAATAGAGCGTTTTTCACACCACTTGAACCAGTGTCAGATACATTTTGTGATTTGATGCTCATTAGAGACTCACATTTTCTTTTTTTCTTTTTTTTTTCCTTTTTTTTTTTTAAAGCTTGTTTATTTTGAGAGAGAGAGTGGGCGTGCAATCAGGACGGGGACAGAGAGAGAGAATCCTGAGCAGGCTCTGCACTGTCAGCACAGAGCCCGATACGGGGCGTGAACTCACGAACTGTGAGATCCTGACCTGAGCCGAAGTCGTTCACTCAACCGACTGAGCCACCCAGGTGCCCCGCGACCGGCATGTTTTAAAGGCTCGCACTATGGGAAAGTGCACTTTCCCAACCTTGCAGCCAGTCTGTGAGGAAATAACCTGAATCGCAGCGGTTCCTCAATGTCCTGTCGTTGTTTGTTCCCTGGGTGGCCGTCCTGGCTGGGCGTTTCTCTGATGTCCCTGTATTTCTGTCCCAGGTCACTCTGCTGATCGCCTTCATCTGCGTGAGGAGTTCTGTGTGGACCAGGTACAGTGCCTACAGCTACTTTGAAGTGGTCACCATCTGCAACTTGATAATGATCCTCGTCTTTTACCTGGTGCATCTCTTCCGTCTCTACCGCGTGCTCACCTGCATCAGCTGGCCCCTGTCGGTAAGGGAGTGGCCTGGCCCGATTCTGGGCACCCAGAAGTCAGGGTATTAGCTGAGGCACTGAGACCCAACAGAATCCGTCCCATCTGTGCCCCCTGGTGTCCACCTGCTCTTCCTCCGTCTCTTCCTGCTGTGGCCCTGCACGTCCCAATGTCTGCCGGACATCTCTGCCTGTGTCCTGCTGTGCCTCCTGCCTCAGTGTTTATTTTCTTGAGTGGCAGGAAACGGGCCATGTGTGTGAGTTTGGAGGAAGAAGCTCCTAAAGGCGATGGGGATTTATACTGTTGGGAGTACCGAATGGTAAGATTCAGCAGCTAAAAGGACTGGCAGAGTCCGAGGAAAGATTTCAGAAGTTTCCAGGATTTTTTTCTTCCCACTCTGTTATTTAAAAAAAATTTTTTTAAATGTTTATTTATTTTTTGAGAGACAGAGCGTGAGCAGGGGAGGGGCAGAGAGAGAGGGAGACACAGAATCTGAAGCAGGCTTCAGGCTCCGAGCTGTCAGCACAGAGCCCAACATGGTGTTTTAACTCATGAACCGAGAGATCATGACCTGAGCCGAAGTCGCACACTTAACTGAGCTACGCAGGCGCCCCTCTATTATTTTTTTATAAGCTTGGCTGACATATACTTCACGTGCCGGACAATTGCCTATTTAAAGTGTACAATTCTCCAGATTTTGCTATCTTCCCAGAGTTGTGCAACCATCGCCATAGTCAATTTTAGAACATTTTCCTCGCTTCAAAAAGAAACCCCATATGCTTTAGCTGTCACCTCCTACCTTTCATCCCCTCCAACCTTAAGCAACCACTAATCTACTTTCTATCTCCATGAATTTTCCTCTTCTTGACATTTCCTGTAAATGGAAGCATATGTGTGGTCTTCTGTCACTGGTTTCTTTCACCTAGAGTGTTTTCATGGTTTTTCTATGTCGTAGCATGCGTCAGTACTTCCATTTTTTTTAATAACCAAGGAATATTCCATTAAAAGGATATACCACATTCTGTTTATTCTGATGGACATTTGGGTTGTTTCCACCTTTTGGCTATCATGAATAATGCTGCTGTGAACATTCACGTACAAGCTTTTTGCGTGGACGTGTTTTCATTTCGCTAGGGAATATACCAGAGAGTGGAATTGCCGGTTCAGTGGTAACTGTGTTTAATTGTTTGAGGAGCTGCCAGACTTTTTTCCAAAGTGACTGCACCATTTTATGTTCCCATCAGCAGTGTAGGAGGGGTCCGATTTCCCCACATCCTTATCAATATTCGTCATTTTCTTACTTTCTGATTTTAGTCACTCTAACGAGTATGAAGTGGTATCTCATGATTTGCATTTCTCTGATGACTGTTGATGTCAATCATCGTTTCGTGAGCTTTCTGGCCATTCATGTTATCTTCTTTAGAGAAATGTCTGTTCAGATCCTTTGCCCATTTTTGACTAGGTTGTCATTTTATTACCGAATTCTCAGTCTTTTGTATATTTTAGTTAGAAGTTCCTTATCAGATAAATGATTGGCAGATATTTTCTCCCATTCTATTGGTTATTTTTCACTTTCTTAAGTTTTTTTTAATGTGTATCCATTTATTTCTTGAGAGAGAGAGAGAGAGAGCACACGAGCCTGGAGGGACAGAGAGAGAGGGAGAAAGAGAGAAATGCCAAGCAGGCTCCGCACAGAGGGGCTTGAACCCGCGAACTGTGAGATCATGACCTGAGCTGAAACCAAGAGTTTCAACTGCCTGAGCCACCCAGGCACCCCTAGTGTTCACTTTCTTGATAGTGTTCATTAAAGCACAGGTTTTTAGTTTGATGAAATCTAATGTAACTACTTTTCTTCTGTTAATGATGTTTTTGGTATAAAATCTTAAAAGCCAAACCCAAGATCATGAAGATTTTACTCTGTGTTTTCCTCTAAGGAGTTTCATAGCTTCAGCTCTTACATTTAGGTATTTTGTCTATTTTGAATGAATTTTTTGTGTCTGGTGTGAGGTAAGGATTCAACTTCATTCTTTTGAAGGAAAGAATACATTGAAATGTAAATATCCAGTTGTCCCAGCACCATCTGTTGGGAAGACTGTTCTTTCCTCATTGCATTGTCTTGGCATCCTGGCTGAAAATGAGTTGACCATAAACACATGGATTTATATCTGGACTCCCAGTTGCATTGATCTTACCACACGGTCTTGATTGCTGAAGATTTGTAGCCAGTTTTGAAATTAGGAATTCTGAATCTTCTATTTGTTCTTTTTCAGGATTGCTTTGGAGTTTTGCAATTCCATATGAATTTTAGAGTCAACTTTTTAGTTCCTACAAAATGTCAGCTGGGATTCTAATACAAACTGCACTGAATCTAGAGATCAATTTGGAGAGTATTGCCATCTTAACATTAAGTTTTGTGACCTAGGAACATGGGAGGTTTTCCCATTCATTTAGATCTTCTTTAATTTCTTTCATCAATGTTTTATAGTTTTCAGAGTGTAAGTTTTGGTGCATTTGGCACGGGGGAACTTAAATCTGTTTCTAAGTACCTTATTTTTTTGATGATATTTCAAATGTAATCATTTTCTTAATTTTATTTTTGGATTGTTCATTCCAAGTGGATAGAAATACAAGTGATTTCTGTGTATTGATCTTGTATCCTTAACCTTGGTGAACTCATTTTAGATCTAATAGACTGTTAGTGGATTCTTCAGGATTTTGTAGATATAAGATTATGCCATCTATGAGTAGAGATAGTTTTATATTCCTTTCCAATCATTTTCTTATCTTATTGTTCTTATTCAACTAAGAAATTAGTTGAATATTGAAGTGGCAAGACCACACATCGCTATCTTGTTCCTGAGCTTAGGAGGAAAGCATTCCATCTTTCATCATTAAATATAATGTTAGCCGTGGATTTTTACAGAGGCGATTTATCAGATTGAAAAAGTTAATTTCCAGTCCTACTTTGTTGAATGTTTTTTTTATCATGAAAGGGTGTTAGATTTTGTCAAATGCTTTTTCTTAGTCTGTTGAGGTAATCGTGGGTTTTCCCCCTTAATATTCTTCTAATATAGTGTATTACATTGACTTTCATATGTGGAACTAAAGTTTGCATCCCTGGGATAAATTTTGTTTGGTCATGATATGTAATTCAGTTTATATGTAGCTGGGTTTGGTTTGCTAGCATTTTATTGAGAATTTTTATATTTGTATTTGTAAGAGATACCAGTGTGTAGTTTTCTTGTGATACCTTTGTCTGGTTTTGCTATCACTGTAATACTGGTCTCATAGAATAATTTGGGAAGTGTTACCACCTCTTCTATATTTTAAAAGAGTTTGTGAAGAATTGGTATTCTTATTTAAATGTTTGGTAGAATTCTGCAGTGAAAGCATCTGAGCCTGGGTTTTTCTTATGGGTGATTTATTATTCTTATTAATACAAACTCTACTTGTTTTAGATTTTTCAGATTGTTTATTTCTGCTTGAGTCATTTTCAGTGGTATGTTCTTATAGGAACATGTCTGTTTCATCTAAGTTTTCTAAGTTACTGACATACAAATGTTCAAGTATTCCTTTAAAATCATTTTTACTTCTGTAAGGTCTGTAGTGATGTCCCTCTTTCATTTCTGATTCTGGTCATTTGAATCTGGTCATCTTTTCTCTCCCTTTTTTTTTCTTGATCAGTTTTGCTAAAGGTTTGGCTGTTTTTTTCATCTTTGCAAAGAACCAGTTTTGGTTTCACTAATTTTCTCTATTGTTCTTCTGTTCTCTAGATCATTAATTTCTGCTCCCATCTTTTTTTCCTTCTGTCTCCTTGCTTTAGATTTAGTTTGATCTTCTTTTTCCAATGTCTTAAGGTAAAGATTAGGTTATTAATTTGAAACCTTTCTTCTTTTTTAGTGTATGTCTGTACAGCTATAAATTTCTTTCTGAGCACTGCTTTAGCTGCATCCCATAATTTGAGTCTATTATGTCTTCATTTTCATTCATCTGCAAGTATCTTCTAATTTTCCTTACGGTTTTGTCTCTAATTGGCCCATTAGTTAGGAATGTGTTATTTTGTACATATCTGTGGGTTTCCCAAATTTCTTCCTGCTATTGCTTTCTAATTTCATTCTGTTGTAGCTGAAGAACATTCTTCATGTTATTTCAATATTTCACATTTATTGAGGTTTATTTTATGGTTTAACATATAGTGTATCCTAGATAATATTTTATTTGCATTTGAGAGGAATGTATATTCTGTTGTTGGGTAGAGTGTTTTATAGATGTTAGGTTAGGTTTAGTTGCCTTATAGTATTGAGTCTTCTATTTCCTTGTTGATCTTCTCCCTAATTGTTCTATACATTATTGAAAGTAGGGTATTGAAGCTTCCAACTATTATTTTTTAATTATCTATTTCTCCCTTCATCTCTTTGAGTTTTTGCTTCATGTGTTGCTTTGTTGTTAGGTGAATTCGTGTTTATAATTGTCTGTCTTCCTGATGGGTTGATGTTTTCATCATTATAAAATGCCCCTCTTTATCTTTGGTAACATTTTTTGTTTTAAAATCTATTTTGTCTGACACCAGTATAACGCCTCCAGTTTTCTTTTGGTTGCTGTTTGAATGGAAGCTTCTACTTTCAATCTGTTTGTATCTTTGAATATAAGGTTTTCTCCAGTAGACTAGTTGAATCTTTTTTTTTTTTTTTTTTAAATCCAGCCTGACAACCTCTGCTTCTTGTTTGGATTGTTTTAATTATTCACATTTAATGTTATTACCCGCTATGTTATTTTGAGAGACCTTTCCTTTGTGTTCCTAAGTTATAAGGCTCCTTTCAAAGTTATGACACCTTTCTGCTTCTTTTGAGAACAAGCTCCTCTGATAACGATACTGATAATGAACAAGCAGAGGAGGGAATAAAAGCTGGGGACAAGAATAGGGGTGGGCTGAGAAGGGAATGAGAATGTTGGAGGGGTTAGCTCAGCCCCACATTTTCGATGGGGCACTATTGGGGCATCTTCCATTTAGGACTCTCTCAAGTTAGTTTTCCGTACCCCATGTCATAGTCCTCTCACGTCATAGTCCTCTTTCTTTGTGGGTGAGAATCTTGGAGGGAGGGAACTTCACTTACTAATCTGCTCTTCAGTCAAAATCTCTGTGATCTACTTTCTGATAATTCCTTTCTAGTCCGTAAAGGGGAAATTTGGGTGTTTGATTTTGCCCAGCTTTCAGAGGAGCTGCTGCTTAAAAGTGGAACGCTTTTCCAGAATTTAATGGGTGACTACCCTGATGGGCAGAACTTCATGAAGGACTAATTTCCAAGTTCTCACCGATGACAATTAAAAATGAATGCACTCTGGATCCAGCGGGAGTACTCTCCCAGCCCTCAGCCCCAGTTCCCCTCTGATCTGGTGTTTAATGGGGAGAAAGAAGGAGGAGGTGGAAGTCATGCTGCTGAACGCAGGAGGTTCAGCCTCATTCAGGGTCTGTGGAGATGCCATTTTAAGCATGGGGTTGAATGGGGTGGAGGCGGACGGAAGCAACGGTGGAGTCTGCCCTGCCAACCAACTCCTCAGCAGAGTGTGATGAAATGAGGACCAAACCAGGAGGCTCGGGTGCCAGAAAGCTGGCTCCCCCACCCCCACAAGCACATCACAGAAGGGCCCTGACCTCACTCTAAGCTCCGACTCCAAGTCTGAGGGGCCGAGCATCTCAAGTCCACACCTACAACTGTTCACAGGGCGGGTGGGCACCCCAGGCCGCCACCAAAGCCAGCACGTTGTTAGACGAGAACTTTCTCGGAAGCAGAAGCGTCAGACACACCTCTCTTTGAGGGGCTTTGCCTCTCAGAGCTGGAGCTGCCTTCAAACTCTCCAGCCTGGGAGCCATGAGGACCTGTTTGCTCTAGCTCTCGCCAGACATCAGGGTACTGTCTACAGATTGCTCTCAGGAGTAGAGCCGTCCTTAGTGGATATCTTTACCTCACGCGACAAGTGTCCTTTCTCTCTGTTGCCTCTCTGGCTGCCTGCTGGCTCCTTTTCTGTCTTGCAGGGCCTCATCCTGGCCAGCCTTCCGTATCTGCTGCCTGTGAGCTAACTGCTGTGGTCCGAGTTCCTCTCTTCTGTGCCCAGTTGCCTCTGAGAACCAGGAGCAGACCTCCCGACCCACTGCTTTGCTTTGTTTTTGTCCCCAGGAACTTCTGCACTATTTAATCGGTACCCTGCTCCTCCTAATCGCCTCCATTGTGGCAGCCTCCAAGAGTTACAGCCAGAGCGGACTGGTAGCTGGAGCGGTGAGGATGGTCTCGGGGGACACTTCACGAACGAGTTCACCTCTAGTACATTTTCTTCCTGATGGGCAGCGAAGGGATTGTTTCCCGGGGCCTTTCTTTCCTAGAAAAGTACCCATCAGTACCCGCCTCGATGCAGCCAGCAGCAGTCTCCAAAGAGCCTTAAACTTGGGCCCACAGCAGAGGGTCTCAGCAGGTGGACCGTCAGAGCTTCTGGCACACACAGATGGCCCGTGGCCCAGCCCTCTCTCTCACGAAGCCACTGCTTAAACCAGGGGGCCATTCGGCGTTAATGCACATGCCCATTGGAGTCATTTGCTTGTGGCTACCTCAGTGTTGTGCGGGCAAAGATTCCAAGGCCACGTTAGGGCCCACTGGAGGATGTGGTCAGTTAGTGATACCTGTCACAAGTCCTGGCTTTGCTGGTCCTGATTGATAACAATATTCAGGCCAGGAAGTAACACTTTTAGACCTTTCAAAGGCGAGAATTGATCGATTGATAGCCTGAATAGAACCATGGAAATGTATAAAAATAAGAGTGCTGTGGGGCTGTGTTTACCACCCCCCCACACACGTATTTTCATATGTGTGTATACTATACATATATATGTATTATTTAAAAAAATTTTTTTAACGTTTGTTTATTTTTGAGAGAGAGAGAGAGACAGAGCACGAGCAGGGGAGGGTCAGAGAGAGAGGGAGACACAGAATCCGAAGCAGGCTCCAGGCTCTGAGCCGTCAGGACAGACGGACACAGGGCTCAAACTCACAAACCACGCGATTATGATCTGAGCTGAAGGTAGACGCTTAACTGAGCCACCCAGGCGCCCCTGCATTTATTATTACTTAACGATGCATAGATTCCTGCAATCTGGTTTCTGATTTAGCTCACTGGTTACAGTTTGGTGGCCTGTGGGCCAGTACGGATTTGCCTCATTTTGAGTTTTAAGAAAAGCTGCACGGGACAGTCACTCTTTCATGTACGTGTCAACAAAATTCTCCAGACTTCGGGTTGGGAGTGGTTTAGTGCCTGGAGTTCCACTGAAGGGTGGGGTCTGTCCTCCAAAGGTGGGGAGGGGGGCAGCCAAGCCTCTCCACACTCATGGGCCTTCGGTGCCTCGCGCAGCCACCCCTCCCCACCCCTGCAATCCCCAAGGACGGGAGTGAATGCTACCTACAGGTTACCACCTGCTTGATTACAGGCTGGCTGGTGCCCACTGTGTCAGAGCCACACGGGAGGCTCCCACTGGGTTTTAGGATTCAAGTTGCACATAACCGTGTCTGTTAGCCTTAGAATTCCAATAAGCCCCATTTATCATACACCATCTTTGTGCCTAGGACAAAGCCTGGGCCATGAGGGAGCCAGAAGAAATAAAAAGACACGGACCTTGCTTATGAGAAAATGGTAATCTAGTTCAGGAGTCTAGGCCAAGGCGCATAAAACAATTAGCAAATAAGGCATTGTTGTCCAGAATAGCATTATGTAGCGATATAATAAACTGTTCAATTATGCAGTGCAGACAGTTGGGGCCCGGGATAGTATATAATGTGCTAATTGTGCAGGACAGACAATGAGGGGCTAGGACAGGCTCCAATAGGCTAATTATGTGGTGCAGACAATCGGTACAAAGGGAGCCAAGGAAAGGGACCTGGGGGAGGGGAGCGGGTGTGGGCCTGTGGGGGCAGCCGCTTATGTAAACCAGAGGCCGGGCCTGAAAAGAAAACCAAACCCTGGAAATCCTGCCCGTGGCCTGGCTGCTCCTGGGCTCCTCCTATTGTGTGTCAGCCGTGGCTCTGGCCGCGCCGCAAACCTGAGGCCTTGTGCAAGTCTGGGAACATTTGGGCAAAAATACGGAGCAGGGTTCTGTTGATTCCTAGGGCTCAGATCCCATGTCTGGCCCTCGCTATCTCTGTGGCCCTGAGCAAACTAGTTGACTTGCTGTCCTTCCTTGTCTTTAGCTGCCAGATGAGGGGGAGGGGAGGGTACCCGCATCACGCAGCCGGAAACGTGGTAGGAGTTTAAAGGATCAGCACACCTGATGGGCTTAGCACACGGGCGGGCACATAGCAAGTGGTCAATAAATTATACTTGCTGCAGCTGCTGGTGTTGTTGACAAGTAAGGAAATGGCTGCAGGCTTCAAAGTTTCACACGAAGACAGCAGAGTCTCTTCGACCATCAGGAGCCTCACACGAGACCCTTTTCCTCCCTGGGCGCCCTGTTCTTTCTTCATCGTTAAGTGAGGTTGGACTGGGCTAGGTCAGCTTTCCTAGATAAGCTAGGTCAGCCGCTTGAGCACAGAGTGGAGCCTCAGAATAGAAAGGTGCGCTGCCCTATTTATTTTAGGCTAATGCTGTTTAAATGTTTGCAGACATGAAACTGCCTGTCAGGGCTTCAGCTTCGGGCTCTTGCCTGGCTATAAAGTGAGACAGAACAGAAAGCCATTAATGAATGAAATGCAATGCTGCCACATCAGTAAGATCCATTTGAACATTAGAAATTTAAAAACCTAAATTAAAATACACAACTTCACCTTTTTCTCTTTCATTAGCCCCGGGTAATTACAGTCCAGTGTCTGGGCCCCAGCTTAGTGGTAAACACAAACCCAAACGTGGGCCCTGAAGTTGCCTAGAGCGAGGAGAGCCAGGAGGTGAAAGCCAGAGCCTGGCTGCCAGGCCTGCGCTAGGGCCCCTGCTGGGGGAGCCGTGGACACAAGGCCTCGTTCCTGCACCTGAGCAGGGACCGGGTGGTCCGCTCCCGTGATTCCCCGGGGCTCCCTCCTGGCCACAGCTGGTCCAGAAACAGGCGCAGGGATGAGAAACAAAGGGCGGCTAGCCTGAGTGATTGGCCCTCGGCCTGGGAACTTCCTTTGCTCTCTCTCCTGTGTAGATCTTCGGTTTTGTGGCCACCTTCCTCTGCCTGGCGAGCATATGGCTGTCCTACAAGATCTCGTGTGTGACCCAGTCAACAGGTGAGTTCTGGTTGCCCGAACACAGATGATCTCTGAAAGTAGAGTTCCCTCTGTTGGGGAACGGAAGGACGGCCTGGTCTGGAGTTCAGCAACAGGGAAGGGCCGCCCACCGTGAGGCGTTGGGGGGGCCAAGGTGGAAAGGTGTCACCCAAGGTTCTCTGCTCCGCACTGTCAGCCCAGCGCCCAACACGGGGCTCGATCTCACAGACTACAGGATCGTGACCTGAGCCGAGATCAAGAGTCGGACGCTTAACCAACTGGGCCACCCAGGTGCCCCGGTGAAGCATTTTCTTTAAATAAGTTCCCCATGACAAAAATAAAGTGTAGAGAATTTTGAAAATGCAAATAAGAAAAACAAAATATTTTTAATGAAAACCGTCTATCATCACACTACCCAGAAATAGCACCTACTGGGTGTCTGTCCTTCCAGTATTTCTTCTCTCTGGTTGGATGGATGGATGGATGGATGGACAGATACAAAGATATATAGATACATATGTTGCTTTTGTTAAACGATCCAACTTCAGGTATTATTTGTAACCTGTTCTCATTCTCGTACTTAACCATCTATCAGACATTTTCCCCACTTGTTTGGGGATTCTTTTCCATCACATTTTTTAAAAAGATTTTATGTATGTACGCATTTAGATTTTATTTTTAAGTAATCTCTGTGCCCAACTTGGGGCTCGAACTTACAACCCCAAGATCGGGAGTGGCATGCTCTAAGGACTGAGCCAGCCAGGTGCCCCTCTTCTCCCATCGCTTTTTGTTAAGTGTTTATTTTTGAGAGACAGCACGAGCCGGGGAGGGGCAGAGAGAGAGAGACAGAGGATCTGAAGCGGGCTCTGTGCTGACAGCAGAGAGCTGAATGCAGGGCTCGAACTCAACAACTGTGAGATCATGACCTGCTCGGAAGTCGAACATTTAACCGGCTGAGCCACCCACGTGTCCCTCCCATCACTTTCATTTATTTATTTATTTATTTATTTTTCAACGTTTATTTATTTTTGAGACAGAGAGAGACAGAGCATGAACGGGGGAGGGGCAGAGAGAGAGGGAGACACAGAATCGGAAACAGGCTCCAGGCTCTGAGCCGTCAGCACAGAGCCTGACGCGGGGCTCAAACTCACGCGACATCACGTGAGATCATGACCTGAGCCGAAGTCGGACGCTTAACCGACTGAGCCACCCAGGCGCCCCTCTCTCCCATCACTTTTAATGGCTCTGTGCTGTTTCATTGACTCCAGGGCATGTCTGTGTCATAGTTTACTTGTCTCCTGTCTGGGGTCACTGTGGTGTTTTGTTTTGTTTTGTTTTAATTCTTTGCTACTAAACAGTGTTGTAAAGAACACCCTTGTAAATATAGCCCCCTACTCATCCCTAATATCTTCTACCTCTAGAATGCGTTCCTAGAGGTAACACTGCTGAGAGCTTGACCCAGGTATTTTGATTAATCCACCTTTTTCTTTAGCCCAGCCCTTCCTGTCTTTGTTCTTTTTCTTTCTCTTAAAAAAATAACTAAAGGAATATCAGAGTGTGTATAGTACGTGGTCTGAGTTGTCCCGAAGAAACGTTTCCACCAGCTTCCGATTCCCTCTAGAAGTCACTGACAAAAAGAACAGGAAGCTGAGGGAGAGGAGGCAGTCACAAGAGACCACAGGCTGTAGGATTCTGTTTACATGAAACGGGCAGAAGAGACACATCCAAAGAGGCAGGAAGTAGATCAGAGGTTGCCAGTTGCTGGGGAGGTGACTGCAGGCGGGTGTGGGCCTTCTCTTGGAAGGGATGAAATATTCCAGAAGTATGGCAGTCAGTGTTCGCACCGTCCTGTGAGCACACGGAAACTGTGGACATGAAGCGTACACTTGAGGTGGGTGAGTTGTACGGTAGGTAGATTTTGTCTCGCTGAAGCTGTTTAAGGGAGAAATCAATGAGGGGGCGCCTGGGTGGCTCAGTTGGTTAAGTGCCTGACTTCTTGGCTTCGGCTCAGGTCATGATCTTGTGGTCGTGGGATCGAGCCCCGTGTTGGGCTCTGCGCTGAGTGTGGAGCCTGCTTCGTCTCTCTCCTCTCTCTCTGCCCCTCTCGCTCTCTAAATAAATAGATACATAAATAAGTAAAATAAATTTTTTAAAAAAACCAATGAAGGGGCGCCTGGGTGGCGCAGTCGGTTAAGCGTCGACTTCAGCTCAGGTCACGGTCTCACGGTCCGTGAGTTCGAGCCCCGCGTCGGGCTCTGTGCTGACAGCTCGGAGCCTGGAGCCTGTTTCGGATTCTGTGTCTCCCTCTCTCTGACCCTCCCCTGTTCATGCTCTGTCTCTCTCTCTGTCTCAAAAGTAAATAAACATAAAAAAAAAGAAAAGAAAAGAAATGTATTTAGAAGCAAAAAACCGAATTCCAATGGCAGTTGTTGCTGGCTGGAGGAAGGAAGTGCTCTGAGCAGAGCTGGGGGGCAGCCTCCTGATGTGTGGCTTCTGGGTGGGCCTGCCCTGCCCGCCGTCCTAACTTTGCCGCTTCCTTCCCAAGATGCCGCTGTCTGAGGACACCCTGCGCCCCGGCCCGAGGCAGGCCCTGAGACGGGAGCGTCGGGGGGCCGGCACCCAGGACGGGCTTCTGAACCTCTGCTCCTGTGCCAAAGCCCTGCCCACACTGCTGGGCACAAGAGGGGCCCTCGGCGTCCTCCTGGGCTCCTGAGCCGCTCTCAGCCTTTCTGGTCTTCCTTGGAGAATAGTCCTCGCCGCCTGGGAACGAAAGCAGCCTCCAGGGAAGTCTGGTCTCTTCCTCCTGCTCTTAGAACCAACCGTCTCAGGGACTGATGACCCCACTTACCTACCACAGCGGGGGTGGTTTCTGAATACTCCTGCCTAAATCTGCTTCTACTCCACATTCCTCAAGGGGATGAAGCTGCCTTAAGTCCTCTTATAGAAACAAAGCTATCTCTGGGGCACCAGGGTGGCTCAGTCAGTTAAGTTTCCCACTTCGGCCCAGGTCATGATCTCATGATTCAAAAGTTCGAGCCCCGTGTCGGGCTCTGTGCTGACAGCTCGGAGCCTGGAACCTGCTTCGGATTCTGAATCTCCCTCTCTCTCTGCCCTCCCTGCTCACGCTCTGTTTCTTTCTCAAAAATAAATAAATATTTTAAAAAATTAACGAAAAAAACAAAGCCATCTCCTAATTTATCCAGCTTGGGAAGAAGCCCCTCTTGAGACCAGACCCTCTTTCTTAAGTGAGGCGGGCCTGCAGAAGCACTGTGTGGTCAGCCCGTGTTGCAGGCCTCAGTCTTAATTACCACTGTGAGTATGTGTGGAGGGGGGCGTGTGTGCATGTGTTTTGTAATAAAAATATTGACTTGGCCAATTTCTTGTTGGACGAGAAAGCTGCAAACCAGCAGTCACGTGACAGGGCCCACAAAGCTCATGGGAAATCACTTGATGCACCCCGGGCCCCCCATCCCCCTTCCCCCCCCACCTCCCCAGAGATGAGAACACTAAAGGATGCAGAAGACCCTGGCCCCTCAAGATTTGCATATTTTCAGAGTAAATGGATGTTAAGGGTGGAAGCCAGTACTGTTCACACAAGACCTAATAAAGCACTACTCACGAGCAGCACAAGTGGCCTTAGAAAAAGAGGGAACTTCTGGTACCTACTACAGCATAGATGAACCCCGAAGACATTGTGCCGAGTGAAATAAGGCAGAAGGACAAATGCTGTGTGATTCCATTTCCAGGAGATTCCTAGAGTAGTTAAAATTCAGAGACTGAAAGAAGGATGGTTGCCGGAGTGGGGGGCTGGCGTGGGGGAATGGGGAGTTCGTGTCTAATGGGTACAGCTTTCAAGCGGGAAGACGGAAACGTTCTGGAGTCGGATGTGGTGGTGGCTGCACAGCATAAATGTAATGCCAATGAGCTGCACCTAAAAGTTGTGAAAGTGGTTAAGTTCTATGTTACGCATAAACTTTTTTTTAATGTTTACTTATTTTTGAGAGAGAGACAGAGCGCGAGCAGGTGAGGGGCAGAGAGAAAGGGAGACCCAGAATCTGAAGCAGGCTCCAGGCTCCGAGCTGTCGGCACAGAGCCCGACGCGGGGCTCGAACCCACCAACCGTGAGATTCACGACCTGAGCGGAAGATCATGACGCTTACCCAACTGAGCCACCCAGGTACCCCATTATGGACTGACTTTATAATAAGTAAATGTTGTAAATTGATCATTCGTGTTAACATCATATTTCCTGTTTTATATAATAGAGTTTCATATGATCTAGATTGAAAAAGTGGGTTTCTCTGCTTAAAAATAACACGTTCAGAAGTCCCTGACAGGAAGGAAGCTGCCGGGCCAGAGCAATGCACCCAGGTTGGAGGCAGCCACTGAGTGGCTTTCTCATGAAGACCAGCGGGCGAGTAACTGGAGCCTGTGGACCTTGTAAGGCGAATGAGGCAACCGGTGGCTTTTTGGGGTTTTATTGTCATTTTCTGTGTATATGAAAATTATGCAAATGAGAAAGACCACGATAAGCTCCATGCAGAGTTGTGCAAAAAAGGTAACATCGCGGTGTGAAGGGTGCCCTTTGGCTCAGTTCTGTAGAGCAGTAACAGCCAAAATAATGGTGACGCTGAATATCGACCCGACCCAAACTATTAAAAACTCATTGCGAGGGCAGGGGTGCATGTGGAGGGCAGCCCAGGGCTGCCAGATGCCCCAAGTGTCGGAGAGAATTTTTAGGCTAAACATTTGAGTTTTAAAAGTTGCCAAATAGGGGCGCCTGGGTGGCTCAGTCAGTTGAGCGTTTGACTTCAGCTCAGGTCATGATCTCACAGTCTGTGAGTTCAAGCCCGGCATCGGGCTCTGTGCTGACAGCTCGGAGCCAGGAGCCTGCTTCAGATTCTGGGTCTCCCTCTCTCTATGCCCCTCCCCTGCCCACGCTCTGTCTCAAAAATAAATAAAAACATTAAAAACTAGTAATAATAAAAAAATAAAGGTTGCCAAATAAACTTTTAAAAGATACACTTCAGGCCGAGCCAAATGCGTGCCGAGGCTTTGTGCAGCCCGCGAGCCCTCGGTTTGCGACCCTACCTGACCCGGTGGTTCTGGGGACAGGAAAGAGGGTGGTCTGGCAGCAGGAAGTCAGGGCTGGAGGCTGACTCCGAGGCCGGAACCCGCGGAGGCTTCTCGGGCCAGCACCTGCTTCCTCCCGAAACCCCAAGCTAGTGCGCGGGGCGGGGGCCCTCCCCGGGGTCCCCTGCCGGCAGAGTCGCCTGCTGGCGCGCTGCCACCGGTCGCAGCTGGCCTCAACTTTTCTTCTGCGAAAACAAAACCCTGACGAGCAGGTGGCCGCCCTGCGCGCCCTCGCCTAGCAGCGCGCGCCCTCTTGTGGCAGCGGGGCGCAGCGCGGCATTTAACCAACCTTTGTGACTGTGTGCTTCCCCTTGCCTCACCCCTCCCGTCTCTCCTCTCCCAGCACAACCTCCAGATCCTTCCATCCACCGCATCTTTGCTTTTCTTAATATGTAGCTCTACGGCAGTTATATGGGTTGCCTAGAAAGTGCATAGAAGTCTGGTAGTTATCTGTAATTAATTGAAACGGTCACCATGCTGTATGTAATGTGGGCCTCACATTTCTCTTCAGCCAGCCACCACTGCAGTGCCGGTCCTGCAAGGGCTGTGACAACTTCATGCCACTGTAACCACACAGCTGTGCTCCAGGCCTCCACTGGCGCCTCTTGACAGTCCTGTGGATGCTGCCCAGGGACCCACCCAGCACCCACACATGTGCGGCCGGCGAGTGCAGGAGACTTCCTGCCCTGGGGTGGAACACTGGCCAATGGGACACAGGAGTCAGTGGATACATCTGTTCTCTCCTGGGACAAACTGTCCTAAGGCAAGTTTTACACCACTTCTCCAGGGACAGTTCCGTGGGACCAAGGGAACAGTCACACAGTGGTGACCAACTCAGTAACACATCCTCGTATCAGCGATCTCCTTCTCATCTTCAGTCCAGATGGTTCGGAAGGATATGTGGGTACAGGCAGGAAATATGTGGTGGCTGCATGAATAGCCTTACTCAGGGCTGCCTTTGGAAGACAGGAGTGAGGGGGAATAGGGAGATAACTCCAATGGCCAAAGCCCTGTGCAAGGCATCTGATCATCTACTTTGGTGGAAGTGGCCCAATGAGAAAATATACAGCCTTGGGGACAGGTGAATGGCCAGGGGCCTAGAAAGGGAAAGACCAGTAAGGCCCCGAGGGGTGGATGGGGCAGGAAGCCACTAAAATTCTCAACCACGCAATTCATTTGAACAATCCGTGGATTTCCTACAAAATAAAAATCCTGGATAATGAGGCCACTAAATGCCACGGAAAAAAGCCCAGAAAAAAACCCCTGCACATATGCGTATATTGTAGGATTAAAAGCTCAGGGACCCACAGAATTAAAGGTCCAGGCCAGGCTAGACCGGCTAGGGGCTGTGAGGGTGCACAAACAGAAGCGAAACCTGGAGTGGATTTCACAGCTCCTGTGGAGCCAAGACCTTCATCTGAGCTAATAGCACCCGCACTGCACTAATTAGCGGCAGGACAAGGAGGGGCAGGAATCGGGTACGAGACCGGGTCTCCAGATTCAGCCCCACCCCGAGGAAGCCCCACATATTTCTAAATTTATTAGATACTGGCTGTAGTCGTGTGGCTTTGTGGGCGTCACGTTTGTTTTTCGGTCTGGACTCTGCTCCCTGCTCTTTTGCAACAAACTGCTCGCAGGATGCACACACTGCGACCCCTTTGGGTGGCTCATATAAGGCAGAGGCCAAGCCAAAAAGGGCGTTTACCCATAAAGCTTGCCAAGCATTAACAACGGAAACAATGCCCTTTCCTGGGAGCAGAAAAGGTACATTGTCTTCTCCCGCAAAGTTTCACAGAGCCAGGGGTGCCGTGCAAAGCTTCAAAGCTTCAAGTTGAACACCCCTGCCGGCCACCGGCAGCTGGCGTTACTGTAGAGCAGGGAAGCTTAACGTGGTCACGTCCATGTCCAGTGCCCTACATCATCAAAGCGCATGAATGTGTTGCTGCCTTCGTGTCTGGCTCTTGGTTTGCGGCCTCGGGTGTTGCTAACACTGTTTTTAGATCGCCTTTCTAGGGGTGGGGGCAGGGGTGTGGAGCGTACATTTTTATCGCTCTGGATTCGCCGGCGATCCAGCATCAGCGTATCGGTCACGGCCAGTATCACGTGAACTCCGGGTGGTGACGCAAGCTCTTCCGTAATGGCTCAACGGGGAAAACTGCTCTTGCCTCATCACGTGACAGACGGGACCGTAAATGAGGACCGTAAATGAGAATGCAAGTGTCCGGCCTTCCACGCGACCATCTTGGAAGCCGTGTCACGACCCGGGGAGCTATTTCCCGGTCACGTTAAGACAAACGTAGCCGCCACTACGAAAGCGGCCCCGCACCAGGACCGGCCGCTGCGCATACTGGCTGTCGGGGGCCGTCCCTCCAAACCTGGGGATGTTCCCGCAGCCCCCACCCCGAGTCATCAGACATGTGTCCACCGGAGCGAGGGCCCGAACAGTGACATCTTGGAAGCCATTCAGGCGGCAGAAGATGCCCCGCCCTAGAGCCTCGGGCCCCTCAGACCGCAGGGAACTACAGGTGTCATGGCGCCGTTGACTGGCACCTTTCGCAGTGAAACCTCCTCCACTTCCGGGCCTCCGACCTCTTGGATTTGAGAACCTCCTCCTGCTGCTGACGGTCGACTGCCAGCGTTACTGAGCCCTAAATGAAACAGTGTCCACTTTCACATTCTCATCTTCCAGTTCGTTCGTGGGGCAAGCTCCAGAAAGTCCTATCGAGATAAGAAAACAGATCTTCCGATTCAGGGCCCAGCCCAGCCCCTGAGCCTGTAACCACCTTCACCAGCAAGTGGTCGCCCACCCATCGGACAGAAATAGTGTTTTCCCCTAATGCACTGCTGGCTTAATGAAGGACTTGCCTGTCACGAGAATCAGTGATGAAAGAGAGCCCCCCCCCCCCCCCCCCCCCAACCCCCGCCACTGGCACAAGCAGGTCCCCTGCGACGCTGCAGCCATCCAGGGATGGTAAATGGGTCAGGGCCCACCGCAGTGGACACCCCGTGCAATGGGCTGAACACGGGGGACTTCCGGCCAGAGTGCGCCACCCCAAGATTTAGTAAACAGTATCTGTAACATTGGCCCATGGCCTGTGTGGTCAGGTGTTTGGGCCACCCAGGACTGGGCTGGCGAAGACATACCATACATCGGGTGCAGCGTCCCCCACCCCCAGAAACACACCGCTATTTGATTACAGACACAATATTTAAGTTGTATGCGTGGTCATGTGAAGCAACCACATCTAGAGAAAAGCACCTAGAGGAACACGTGGAAGGTGCGGGAGGTGTTAAAACAAGATAAAGTAAAAACTACCAGGCAATAACAATGCAGTAGGTGGGAAGAACTGATGGGCATCAGTCCTCACGTCTTAGTGTCATTCGGGAGCCGAGCAGGAGTACTGATTACCCTTGTTTTCCTGACGTCAAATATGCACGCTAAAAATGTGAGTATCACTGCAGAATTTTAGCTGATGAATTCTGTGGCAGGAACTACAGTCGCCATTTTGTAAACGCAGATCAGATTCAGAGAAAGGCCAAGGGGTGGGAACTTTTAACTAAAAGGTTGACGGGAACCTGCATGGTGGGAGGGATCAGGTGCTAGCATCTGGACCACTCGGGTGCAGTTCGTGCGGGATGGCGGGAGGCACGCGCCGTCACCCACAGGAAAACCTTAAAAAAAAGGAAAAGACTGACCTCAATTTAAGCAAGCCTTCAGAGCTATCTTTCAGTTTTCTAATCAGAATACGTCATCTTTAAAATAAAGATCCCACCATTTGCAACTACATGGATGGAACTGGAGGGTATTATGCTAAGCGAAATTAGCCAGAGAAAGACAAATATCACATGACTTCACTCATACGAGGAATTTAAGATACAAAACAGATGAACATAAAGGAAGGGAAAGAAAAATAATATAAAAACAGGGAGGGGGACAAAACATAAGAGACTTTTAAATACAGACAACAGAGGATTGCTGGAGGGGTTGTGGGAGGGGAGATGGGCTAAATGGGTAAGGGGCACTAAGGAATCTAGTCCTGAAATCACTGTTGCACTATATGCTAATCTGGATGTAAATTATAAAAAATTAATTAATTTAAAAAATAAAATAGTGTTAAAAATAATAAAATAAAATAAAGACCCCATTCTGGACACCTGCAAAAATAAAGTACCTAGGACAAATCTGACAAAAGATGTACAAGACCTTTTTGAAGAAAACCACAAACTTTATTGGAAAACAATAAAAGACCCAAATCAGTGGAGATTCTAGGTTCACGAATGTTAAGTTAAATCATAAATCATTTTCCCCCAAGTTAATCTATAAATTCAATGCAATTCCAAGAAAAAATTAACAAGGGCTTTTTGTGGAACTTGCCAAATCAATCTTAAAATTTTATAGTAAAAAGTATCTTTATAGTAAAAAGTAAAGTAACCTTTCTCTCAATTTTACTGCAAACCTAAAACTATTCTTAAAAAGTCTTTAAAATAGGGGCACCTGGTTGGCTCAGTTGGTTAAGCGTCCAACTTCAGCTCAGGTCATAATCTTGTGGTTTGTGAGTTTGGGCCCCATGTTGGGCTCTGTGCTGACAGCTCAGAGCCTGGAACCTGCTTCGGATTCTTTGTCTCCCTCACTCTCTGCCCCTCCCCCACTCTCACTGGGTCTTTAGGTCTCTCCAAAGTAAATAAAACATTTAAAAGAAAAAAAATTCTCTCTCCCTCTGACCTTCTCCCCAGCTCAAAAAAAGAAAGAAAGAAAGAAAGGAAGAAAGAAAGAAAGAAAAAGAAAAAGTGTTTCAAATAACAAAGTGTTAAGAATACAACAATTTTGAACTTGCCCTCAGGTTATTACGTCTTTATCAAGACTATGGTATTAGCATAGGTATAGAAAAAAAGCCTAAGGAAGCCAGCCCCAGACCCACGCATATGCATAAACTTGGTAGATGACAGAAGCAGCCGTAGTCTATCAGAGGAGCAAAGAGTCACGGAGTGCTCCTACCACATACAGAAATCAGGGTACATTCAAGTACTAAATGTAAAATGCAAACCTTTAAACATTTTAGAAAGCGGCAGGGAACATCTGTGACCTTGAGCTAACAAGAACCGATAAGCAAAGAGACAAAGCATCAAGAAGCAAAGTTAAAATATAAATTATAGACTTTGAGGAGATATTTCCAAGGCACATTACTAACAAAGAATAACACCCATAATATGTCAAGAACTCTCAAATGAGTTTAAAAAAAAAAAACAAAAACGCACATCAGGGTGAAAAAAAGGCAAAGAATATAAACGAACAACTCACTGATGTGGGGAAGCGTACAAAGTCAACAGCCGAATGAGAAGACGCCCAGGCTCACCAGTCAAAAGGGGAGTGTAAGAGAAAATGAGAGACCATCTCAGCCCCAGATCAGCAAAACTCTTCAACCAAACTAATACTAAGTGCAAGACAAGAATAAGGAAACAAAGCACCCCCGTACACGGCTGACGCGAAGTCTCCACTTTGGAGACCGTTTGGAAATATTTAGCCATGTTGGAATCCCACACATCCTGCGATGCAACAATTTCTAAGTCCACAACCTACATAGAACTCTTGCACCCGTGCGTGAGATGTTCAAAGATGTCTGTTCCCTAGAACACTGGTTCAAACGGTCAAAAACGAACCACATCAAAATTTTTCTGTCAACAGAGGAAAGGTAAGTAAACTGGCAAATTCGTACCACGGGATGCCAAATAGTAGTTTAAATGAATGAACTAGAGCTGCGTGTATCAGATACATTTCAAAATACTACCGATTGGAAAAAGCAACCTACGAATGGCTAAATCTAGCATAAATACCATGTCGGACATTGTTTCTGGATACATCTCTCTAAATAGTACAGACAATAAAGACAGGAAAGACAGATACCACATTCAAGATCATGTGTGCCTTTGGGAAAGTAAAAAGTAAGATTGGAGGTGGTGGTATTTCAGAAGTGAAACTTCATTTTCTTTCTTAAACAAGGGCCTTTGAAAAAACTATGGCAAAAAGTCATGATCTATTAAAGCTGGGTGGTGTCTGAAATGGGTGTTATCTTCTGTGCTCCCAGTACTCAACAGTTCTCAAAAATTAGAAGTAGCCAATTATGAAGGTCACAGGAAAAAAAAACAGTACTTCCCACCTTTTATTAGACCAATTTTCTAGGGTACACATAACTTGTACAATTATAGTTTAGTCTAAACGTCAGAACTGTTAGTTTTTCTATTTTACATTGCTTTGGGGGTATTCAGGCCTACAAAAATTTCTTAAACTGGGAATTTTATTTTCCCTAGCTGGGGCCCAATCCTTAACATGCTTATGCTAGACACTGCTGAACCCCAAGCCCATGGCGCTTGCTACCAGAACCAATGTGTTCAGGTAACAGAAGACTCTATCTGCTTCAAAGGGTATTCACCACTTGAGGAGAGGAATCTGGATTGCTTTAGGCCAATTTCAGTAATGCCGTTCTCCAGGTCAGTAAATGATTTAGAAATGGGCATTTAAAGTCTGTTAGTAAGACAAGTAGGTGAAGTTCACCAAGGGGCTTCTGTGAAAAAAGAACACCTTAGAGACACAGCAGTGCACAATCTCTTCTTTGGGCTTTGGACATTGTTGTGCAAGTGGACGATGCCTGGAGATGTCGCCTGTCTTGCTACACCATAAGGGGTCAATCCTGAGGATAAAGACTCACAGCAGAAGATGCATGGGCAGAAAAACATGGAAAGAGTCTGGGTCCCTGATAATACTGCTGAGACGCTGAACTTCGACAAGTCACAGAACGGCCCTACCTGGGCTTATGAAATAAAATTTCCTTACTCTTTAAGACCTATTTATTTAGGTTTTCTGCTCCTTGCAGTTGACGGCACACTGAGACAACTCTTTTTTTTTTTTTTCATTTGTTTAAGCAACCTCTCCACCAACATGGGGCTTGAACTCACAACACTGAGGTCAAGAGTTGCATGTTCTACCAACTGAGCCAGCCAGGCGCCCCAAGACAATGCTCTTTATCAAAACAAAACACAAAACTCTGAAGAATGTACGAATTCCAGTGAGCTCCTGATGATTATAAAGATCTTGTTATTCTCACACAGACTGGAGGCGGGAGTTCTGCAAACCACACAAATAGTTGCAGCTTTACCAGAACCACCCCAGTTTTGTTTCACACTTTCTCTGTCACTGAACAGTCTGAAAGAGAATGTGCCTATTTTGTTTTTAGCATTGTTTAGCCACAACGAGAACTGTGATGGAGAGTCCAAATTTGCTTCTTTGTAAGTATTTAAAGGTGTTTAGTCCGTAACATTCCTTTGCAACTCTTCAGACACGCTCCCAACAAAGGCGGTTTCAACGTGTGTTCCAACTTCCTACCTGTGCCTCACACCCGGGCAGACGCACAGTCCAGTATCCCACCAAAGTACTTACCAAGATTGTACAGCCCACTCCTAGACCTCTGGAGAAAGTTTTCATCTTCAACATCAGGCTTCTGTGATAATGAAACAACTACAAAGGTGTAGACAATAAAATGGATTTATTTAAAAAGAAAACTACAAAATTTGACATTGAGAGAGATAAAAAGAAAAGAAAAAAGACCCACAGGATTTAAATTGATAAATACAAAAGCGATTGGCTATAAACAATGTAAAAATACATTTCCCAGTCCCCAAGCAGAACATAATTTAAGTATGGCAGTTATAAAATTCTTACATTGTATGCATTTTCTCTTAAAATCTTCAAGAACCATTTTAAACAGTTTATTTGTATAAAATATAACAAATCTAACATGGCTGTTAATAAAAAATTATGTGACATTTCAGTTTATTGAGTTTGCCCTTTTTCGGACATCAAAGGGGTTTTGGTCCCAAGTTTTCCTTGAACTTTTTTTATTCACCACGTGGTCTTTTTACTGGAATTCCTTCTACAATAGAAGAGGGGGGCCAATCAGTCATGGGTCCCATAGAGAACAGGATGAAGAAAAGTTCCAGAGGGACCCAAAATACCAGCAAATACATTATCTTTCTGCAAAGGGAAGGTTAAGTGGCAGCTAAGAGGCCCACTTCTGCACCAATAAAAGAGACACAAGCCAAGCCTCAGAGCGAGCAGCACTGCGGCTCGATGCCGACGTGCTGTACGGAGGCGGCCAGCTGGGACACGTCCCATCAAACTCAACGAAGCCCGTGCGCGCGCGGGGACCCTGAGGTAGCCCGGATGGTTTGCTGTGAAAGCCCAGCTGGGTCTGGATGATATTTAAAATGACAGTGTACAGTCAGGGGTGAAATTCCAGAACTTGCTGACCATACGCTACTTATCTTCGAACCATTCTTCATTCTTGGGCCCAGGACCCAAGCTATTTCTCCTCTCGTGGATGGTACGCCCAATAAAGACAGCATCCGTGATCGGGTTCATTATCCCCTAGGCGGGTAGTGGTGACAGCACCACGGGCACTAGCATCCAAACTTGGGAACAAATGGATACAGTCCTGAGTCATCAAGAGAGGCCGTGCTGCTGAACTCTGACCACCGCACCTGCCACATCCACACACACAAATGAGAAATTTCAAATGGATAGGGTCATTAAATGGTCTCACTGGGAACACGATTCCACTCCTTCAGAAGGAACACCCGGTCCACCTAGCCCCGGAGACTTCCAACGAAGTCCTGAAGTACCTGACACGTGGGCTTATTGCCTTCACACCAGAGTCCTGAGTCAAAATTCTAAGAGGAGGACAAGAAAGATCTACTCTGTGAACCCCTTGCTCAGAAAGGACCAAGTGCCCTGGCCGGCTGGCTCTAAGACAGCCTGCCAGCAAGAGGCCATTCTTGCAAACGATCAGAACGAGTCTGAAGCGGAATGGCCGGGCTGCCCCTTACACCATCCTCAGGGTTAGCCTGGGCAGGATTTGCTAGATACTTCCTTAAGAAGGTCTCCCCCAAAGAGAAGTCAGAGTAATCCCCGACGTGGGAACAAGAAACCTAAAGATCCCGCTGCATACTCTGTGCAGTTAAAAGGGCCCCAAAGTTTGGATTACCTAAAGACAACCGCCATCGGCCAGAGACTCCTCTCTGTCAGATGATGAAACAGTGTATGGACCATGTGGATAAAGAGAAAAGGGAGAATCTCAAATAGATGAAAAATCAAAAGCTGGGGTTTTGAAAAGAGGGTAGGCTTCAAAGAAAACGCTGAACAGACTGATACAGCTGTATGAACTTCGGTAGGAAGAGCCATATATCAACAGGGGAATGGACCAATTCCTAGCTCCCAGTATGAACTTATCTCTTCAGACAGTGGTAAGCAGTTGAAGCCTATTTTTAATAATCACTGTATTGTTCAAGAAGTGTATCTTTTTTTATCTTTGGTCCTTAGCCATGAGAGTTTCTTCCATTTTTCTGTGTGTTATATTATATAAAAAATCTTTTTTTTTTCGCTTATCAACAACAAAGTGCAGTATAAACATAGGGTTTCTGATATTGTTTCTTTTCTACATATAAAATAACAACACCTCCCATACAGTTTCTATTATGCTAGAAAAGGTCTCAGAAAGAGTTAATAATAATTATCCTAAAACGTTACAATATAATTTTAAGGCTGAGTGAGATACAGTAAAGCCTGGGTATTTCAATGACAGAATAAAAGATCATCAGTTGAGCTATGTGATTTAAAGAAACAACTGTCCTCCGAAACAGAAACAAAACCATTTCATTTGACAGAAGTTTTAACTGTTATTTAAATACATTTTTTTTTTGAAACAAAAAGTTCTCTGGCCTAATTTGTGGTGACTGACACAGAGTCCAATATTGACAAAAGTGCCTTCCTGCCCTTCCCCTTGTTCCCCCAAAGAAGTGGTTTAACCATTACATAAATTCTACAAGAGTTTGTGCCAGGGCTCAGGCATTACGCAGCTGATACCTTATGCAACACCTATTCCCTAGGTCCTTAAGCATTAAGTGGTTCAGTGGCCTCTGTCCTCCTGGTAGCCTCAGGTTTTCTCATCTGGGACTCCTGTCGTTTCTCCCAGACCATACTGGCAAAGTCAAACAGGAACATAAAACTTGCTAGGAATCCAAACACCTGGGGAGAAGAAAGGGCGAAGGTTGTATGATGAGTTTTGGAATGTAATCTCACATTTCCTACTGGGCTCTGAAAGCGTTTTATACAAGCAACACGATTCATCAATTTTATCTTATACACGTTATTCTCAACCCCTGGTAATAAAAGACTTTTTAAGGTCATCAGAAAACTAAAAGTTACAAAAAAAAAATCTAGAATAATGGCTACTAGTTGAAGTTCTACAAAAGAGAGATGTCCAGCCTTATGTGTGCATGTGGGATGTGGGGTGCCAAACCTGTGACACTAAGGTTAATAGATGAAAAACAAAACCGTAGAAAATGATACAAAACACAGGATTATTGGCAATGGT